CAAGCGGAGGCCGGATCTACATCCGGTGAGCTCCAAGGGCATGGAGAATGCCAGTCAACGTCCGCCACAGCTCCCGGACCACCAGCGTACTTGCGCCGATCGCCGCGGCTCCAGATCCAGCGCGCAAATGCCGCTTCAAGCTCCGGACAGCCTCGTCTAGCTGTCCCGCAGCAGCAGCGCCACCCTCCGCGGGCGCAGCCAGCACGGGCGCCAGCAGCACGGCGAGCTGGTCCGCCGCATCCAAGCATGTCTCGCGCGGACGGTCGCGAAACGTCTCAGGAGAGACCACAGGGAGGGAGGAGTGAGCAAGGACCTGTATCAGCAGCAACGCGTGGAGACTCTCAGCGAGGCGGTGGAGCTGCCCGAGAGTCGATTCGGGAACACGCGTCTGCGGAGGCTGAAGCGCCTCCGCTAGGAATTGGAGCGGCACATCAGCTCCATACTGAGCCGCCGCTACGCCACCACCCGAGGCCACAAACTCCACCCCCGCAACAGGCGGAACGGTCGGCAGCTGCAGACGAGAGCCGGGAGCTGGCGCCGCTACGGAGGGAGAGGGAGCAGACGGGTCGTGGACAGGGGGAGGAATTTGAGCGGCCAATGGAGGGACCACAAGAGGCACATGCGGACGAGGAGCGACGCGCGCCAGCGCAGCCCGCGGCGAGCTGCTCTGGCTCTGCGCCGCCCTCTCCTCGCGAACAGCCCGGGACACTTCCTGCTGAAGATCGGCCATCGTCACCGGTGGGCGGTACCCCCCACCGCGCCCGCGGGGACCCCTCCAGTCCACCTGACCACCTGGGCGAGCAGGCCAGTCACGCTGCTGCTGGTGTCGCCGAGGAGAATCGCGACGGCGACGAGACGACTTGCGATCTTGGTGAGGTAGGGGGGAATGTGGGCGAGACGATCGGCGACCAGGCGACGGCGGGCGCACCGGCTGACCATCCGGGTCCACTGTCGCAGCAACAGGCGCGGATTGCGCCGCCGCTATCGGCGCAATCGACGGAGCCGGGCCGCCAGTGGTGGCGAACGCCGCCTTCGTCGACGAAACAGAAGCCGGTGTCGGCGCGTCGGGGACAGAAGCAGGCGGAACTACGGGCGCCCCGGATACAAGAGCAGCCGCAGGAACAGACGAGCCATCTCCCAACACGGCAAGGGGACCCGCGGGTGCGTGGGGCAGAGTCCTTTCAGCGTCTGTTGTCGAGGGCGTTGGAGCCGGCGGTACAGGAGGTTTCGACGCCGTGGTCGCCATTTCGGCCGGAGGCGGATGCTTGGCCACGACAGCCGACCAGGCGGCAGCGCGCTCTAGCGACGGCTCATCTGCTCCAGCAATCACCATCGGGGGATCGGGGAAGCCGCGGAGGTAGAAGACAAGAGGCAAGCGGGACAGGCGGGGGACCGGAGAATGGGTACCAGGCGGCGGCACGTAGGGCTTTAACTACCTTGGCTGCAACTCATGAGGAGGAGGAGCTTGCGGACCCATCTTATAGGGAGGAATCCCTCCCACCTAGCGAAGACGGGGAAGTGGAGGGCGAAGGCGTGACGAGAGAATCTGGAAGGAGAGGAGCAGGCCAAGGGGGCCGAGCACCAGCAAACACGACCCAGGCGGGCCGGGGACCGTCCGATCCAGATCGCGCGGGTGACAATCCAACCCCGGTTCGGCCAACATCGGCGAGCCGCGCTCGAAGAAATCGGACCGCCACGACCACCACGGCGGCGCGCCAGAACACCCAACTCCCTCGCTATTTCTCGCCTGACGAGCTGGCGAGGCGTGAGGATTTGTTCGCGACGATTGCAGACTGGGACATCGCTGCGCTCTGCGACAGTCGACAGCCTTCGCTGTCACGGCGTTTACCACCAAATCTGTGCCACCTATTTTCGCAGGCACTCCTGACACCATTGCTACACCTCTCACGAAACCCCGAATCCGAGCCTGGATGGCGCCTGCTGTTGTTTCTCCCGCGCCTTACACTTCGCCAAACCTCGCCACAGCGTCCAGATTGGCCGGGGGTCAAGACCCGACTCCGAGCTTTCCAGCGTGGCGAATGGGAGCGTCTGTACCTGGACGCGGCTGACGCAGTCAACACGCCTCCTCCGCCGCGCCACCAGCCCGACTCGACCGGAATCATTAGCCGAGCCGAAGGGCTCGCGAAACGTGGCAGTTTACGTCGGGCCGTGCTGGCTTTGGAGTCAACGCCAGTCTGTACCCCGAGCCCGGAAATCTTGGAAGAACTGCGTCGGAAGCACCCTCCTGCGGCACACGAGGCGGTGACTTGGCAGGTCCAACCCGAGTCAAAATTGTCCAACTCCCACGATGAGTTCGCGAAAATCTTGGGGCGATGTGAGAACGGAGTGGAAGCCGGACCGTCGGGCACAACATTTGAGCACATGCGCGACGCGGCCACCACTAACGCAATAATCAGCACCCACCTGCACGCCTTGGTTAACACCCTGCTGGGGGGAAATTTGCCAATCCCAGTGGCAAACCTACTCATCGCGTCGCGATTGATTGCACTGGCCAAACCGGGGGGGGGGGGCCCGGCCAATCGCGATTGGCGAATGCCTGACGAGATTGGCAGCCAAGGCACCCTTGACAGCCATGGGAGAAGCTGCCCGGGATTATTTCCTGCCACTACAGTTCGGGGTGGCAGTGCCAGGTGGAGCGGAGACGGTCATACACACGGCCAGGGCATTCCTGGATGCCCGCCCGGACAGCCTGGTCCTGCAGGCAGATATTTCGAATGCGTTCAACAGTATCTCGCGACAGGCCATCGCCACCGCGTTACACGACCCCAAACTATCGCCACTGCAGCCGTTTGTGAAATTGACTTACGGTAACCCGTCGCCTCTTCTTCTGGACGCGAAATTCAACTGCGATACATTGCATAGCGAACGGGGTGTGCGACAGGGTGACCCACTTGGCCCGCTACTGTTTGCAGCGGGAATACACTCCACACTCCGTGACACTGCAGAAGCACACCCCGACGTGCTTTGCTTGGCGTATGCGGATGATGTCACCTTCCTGGGTGACACCGAACGCACCGTTGCCGCCTTCACGCACTTCACAGCTAAACTAGAGCAGCTGGGCCTGTCGTATAACCCACAAAAATGCGGGGCATGGCGTTCGACGGCAGTTGCGCGGAGTCGATTACCGCCCGGGGTGCCGTTCGCCAAGGAAGGGCTCCGTCTCCTAGGCAGTTACGTGGGGACAGACGTTGGTGGCGCGGGGTTTCTATCAGGCCAACTCACGGAAATGGCGAAGCTGCTGCCATTGTTAGAACGGACAGACCCCCAGGTGGCGGCGCTGCTGCTCACGCGTTGTATTTCCCGACGTGTTGCGTACCTGATCAGGACGACTCCTCTCCACTTGCTCCCTCGCGCCACATGGAGTCAATGGGGTCGGGACCTTCTCATCACCTTACTTGCCTCGTGTGACATCCGCGCGCCAACCTGTAGCACCGAGCAAAAGCGAGTCTGGGAGCAGGCGTCTTTACCGACATCCCTGGGTGGCATAGGAATTACGGACCCGCTTGTCGAGGGAATATACGGCTTCACCGCCAGTTTTACACAGGCGGCGCTGTTCCTCTCCTCCCTCGCGCTAGAACCAGACAGCGTATTGACGATGGCTAGGAACCACATGTTAGCGCCTAGGGATGACAGCACCCCCCTACACTCGTGGCTCACGGAGTGCGAAGCAGCCCTGCCCCTAGACGCGCGAGAGGTCTTAGAGAAGGAACGGCTGGAGCGGTCGGATATTAGGCTCCAGCACGTGCTCGGCCTGAAAGTCCACGGGAGCAGGTATGCGGTGCAAGTCCAGGCAACTCGTGACATGCAGCTGAACCCTCTCTTCGGCCACACGCAGAGGATGTTCTCGATGACTGGATACGCCACCGGGGACTGGCTGACTGCGATCCCACTTGAGGCTACCAGACGGATAGGCCCCGTCCATTTCACAAACGCCGTACGGTTCCGCCTGGGCCTCCCCTTTTCAACCCCCAAAAATTGTGACTGCGCGGACCAGGTAGCTATCACGGATCCCCGCCTCCCGAACCATCTCCTCCGCTGCGGCACAGGCAAGCATCGCATTAACACACACAACGAGCTGCGCGATGCATGCATCAGCATGGCACAGCACGTCGGGTTCATTGTTCACAGTGAGTCGGCGGTTTACTGCCCCATCGAGGAACAAACCGCAGATTTCACCATGACCGACAGGAGCAGCGGAGCAGTTTATGTGTGCGACGTGACGATCACGGATCCCATTAGCACAAGGGATCCTACGGCGGAGAAGGGCAGGGGCTGGGCGGCTCGGGAACAAGCGGACAAGAAAATCAAACACTATGCAAATCGGCCGGAGACGGTGGGTTTCTTCCCACTTGCGGTGGACACCTATGGCTGCCCGTGCGGGGAAGTCCCGGTCTTCCTCAAGCTCCTCGCAGACACAGCGGCTCGGCGGCACTTCAACGCCGACTCTAAATCCTTTTATGCCGCCAAGTTTCTGCATCTATTCCGGCAGCGCTGGTCAGTGGCCCTTCAGAGAGCCCAATCGGTGGGTCTCCTTCTCAAGCTCGGCGAGGCAGCGGCTGCAGAGAACCCGCCGGTAGGAGGCATCGGCCAGGAACTTCACCCAGGGGATTGCTTTGCGGTGGTTGAGCCTTACCTTGAGCTCTAGAGTGTGTAGTTGGTAGGAGAAGTTGTGTTGCAAGCTCTGTCCTAGTACCCTATGAACCTGCATGCATGTACTTGACCCTCTATCAATACAAGGACCATTAGAGAGAGAGAGAGAGAGAGAGAGAGAGAGAGAGAGAGAGAGAGAGAGAGAGAGAGAGAGAGAGAGAGAGAGAGATAGAGAGAGAGAGAGAGAGAGGGAAGCGGACCCCTCTACCTACCAGGCCGCTAAGATGCTTCATCAATTCCGCCAGCGGTGGTCGGTGGCCCTGCAAAGAGCACAGGCGGTTAGCTTCCTCATGAAGCTGAACCTTGCAGCACAGGCGGAAAACCCCCCCTTAGGAGGACCGGAGGGGGAGCTGAACCCAGGGGACTGTTTTGCAACACTTGAGCCCCCACAGAGGGGCTGCTAGGGAGCATGGGTAGTCACTCACATGTTTGTTTCTGTTGTGTGATAACTATACTCGTTGTACGACATGTTATATCAATGGAGGACCGTTTGAGAGAGAGAGAGAGGACCCTAGCCTCTGCTCTCTTCCCTCTGCCCTCTTCCCACTGCCTCCCTAGCCTATATAAGAGGCCCTTTGGGGTCTCTCTTCCTCATGATTTGTGTGGTGGCTGCAATTTTTCACTCGTTCGAGAGAGTGAGAGAGAGAGAGGACCCTAGCCTCTGCTCTCTTCCCTCTGCCCTCTTCCCACTGCCTCCCTAGCCTATATAAGAGGCCCTTTGGGATCTCTCTCCCTCATTATTTGTGTGGTGGCTGCAATTTTTTTCTCGCGTCGACCGCCTTTGGCGGCCGACGCTCGACGGCGCGGCCTTCGGCTGCGCGTTTGGGGCGACAAGGGAGAAACGAGACAAGAGATTATAATCAAGGACATACACGCAATGGCTCCAGCTACAGCCGCATAGGACAACAAGCGGCAGCATCATCATGGGGCAGGAAGAGGCGGATGCTACATTCGATCTGCCTGCAGGGCATGCAGAATGCCCGTCATCGTCTGCCACACCGAGCGGACCACCAGAATGGAGGCGCCAATCGCGTCGGCTCCGGAACCTGCCTGTAGGTACCTCCGTAAGTCCCGCACAGCCGCGTCCAGTTGCCCCATAGCCCAAACGCCTCCTCGCACGGGCGCGGCCAACACAGGCGCTAGGAGGAGGGCAATCTGGTCGGCCGCGTCAAGACAGTCGTCCCGCAGGCCGTCAAACAGAGATTCCGCCGGAACAAGCGGAAGAGACCCGTGCGCCAGGGAATGCACAAGAAGGAGCGCACAGAGGCTCTCCGAGAGCCTCCATAACTGGCCGAGCGTCGCCTCCGGAACCTCGGCGCGCGGGGGAAGGAGCTCCTCTGCCAGAGAAGGGAGCTGTAGTCGAGGAAGTCCAGCCCCACCACCACGAGCAGGGGCCGACGGCAGTGACACCGCGGGCGTCGGAGCAACCACGGGGCGAGCGACCGGAAGGGGAGCAGCCGGCGTGGGAGCCGCACGTCGCGAGCTGTTTTGACTCGCCGGGCCGGCCTGACCGTCGCGAAACGCCTCATTCACAATCTGCCGCACGTCCGCGATTGTTGCTGGCACGTCCAGCCAGCCGCCACGCCCGTGACCGCGACCTCCCCTCCAACCACTCTGGTGGCTATGCCAGTTCGCCTGCGGCTGCCGTCGGCGAGGGGAATCACACCGTCGACGAGACACACCCTGCTCATCTTGGGGGGAGGGCGAATGTGGACGGGAGTTACGCTGCTGCACAGCCGAAGGAAGGGCATGGGCAGACGCGGAAGCTGCGGGGAGCGAAGGGGCAGACTCCCCGCCCGGTGCACTAAGGGATGCAGCAGGAGACACCACAGGCAGCGCCACAGGCACAGGAGGAGGCGCCACGCTAGACGCAGGTGCCACCCTAGCAACAGCCGCCGTCTCAGCAGGCGACGACAACACCAAAACGTGAGGCGCGAGAGAGGGCGTCGTGCCAGGAGCAGGGAGAGGCGCCACGTCAGCCGCAGCCGCCAGAACGAAGGCACACACAGGCGCCGGCGCCACCACGCGCAGTTGGACGGCCACACCCGCCGACTCTCGTCCAGAGTCGACTACCGTGGGGCACGCGTGAGCAGGAGAACCCACGACAGACATTGCCGCAACAGGGGCAACCGGCGCCGACTGTACCGGCGAGGCAAGCGCAGCTAACGCCACGCCAAACGGCCGCGGCGAATACGGCACCGGGGAACCGCCACCAACCGCCACAGGCATTACGTGGAGGCAGAGGCGGGCGGCAATGAGCTGCGGGGCGTGGCCGAGGACGGGAGAACGGCTTCCAAAGGGCTGCGAGGCTGGCTTTAACAGATGCGGAAGTCAACAACGAGGCGGAGGATGAAGCAGATGAGGCGACAGTCGTGAGCCCCCCCTCTCCCGCAAAATTCCGCACGAAATCCGCACCAGTTTTGCAAACGCGCTGCTAACACCCCTGCTGCACCTCGCACGCCACCCTGATTCAGTACCGGGTTGGCGCCTGTTACTCTTTATTCCCCGCCTAATCCTTCGCCAGGCGAAACCAGGGAAGCCTGATTGGCCCGCAGTGAAGTTGCGACTTCGTCAGTTTCTAAAGGGTGAATGGGAACAGCTGTACGAGGCAGCCGTGGTAGCAGTCAACTCCCCCCCAGCACCACGCCACCAGCCGGACGATTTGGCAAAACGTGCCAGAGCAGAAGGACCGGTTCGGAAGGGCAGCTTTTGGCGGGCCATCTTAGCCCTCGTATCTACACCCATGGCAGATCCAACGCCGGAGATACTGGATTTACTTAAATCCAAGCACCCACCCACGTCACCTCGACATATTGACTGGACACCAACGGACGAGACCCACGTGGTGACCATCACCTCAGCTGCATTCACGAAAATCCTATGCCGCTGCCAAAACGGAGTAGGGGGAGGGCCGTCGGGGATGACGTTTGAACACCTCAGGGATGCAGCTAACGCCAACGCAGCCGTTACCACCCACCTCCACGCCCTCGTCAACACAATACTCCAAGGGAACCTCCCCGAAGAGGTGTGCTCCCTGCTCACGTCCTCCCGCCTCATCGCTTTCGCCAAGCCAGAGGGAGGGACTCGGCCCATAGCCGTAGGAGAGTGTGTCCTACGCCTCGCGGAAAAATCAGCACTTTCCTCAATAGCAGAAGCGGCACGAGCCCATTTCCTCCCACTCCAGTACTGCGTAGCCGTCCAGGGAGGTAGCGAGGCGATAATCCATACCGCTAGATCATACATGAGCACGCACAGTGACGCCACGATTCTCCACGCGGATCTCTCAAACGCATTTGATAGCATCAGTCGCGAGGCAATCGTAGCGGGTCTACGTAGAAGTAGGCTAGAAGGGATCCTCCCCCTAGTTCACTCCTCTTACGGCGCGCCGTCAGAGTTATTTCTCGACGCCGGCTTTAATAGCCCTCCCATATCAAGCATTACAGGGGTCCGCCAGGGCGTCCCCCCCAGGCCCTTGCTCTTCGCCGCGGGCATCCATCCGTCCCTCGCCGCGACTGCAGGCGCCTTCCCGACCGTTCTCTGCCTTGCATTCGCTGACGATGTCACGTTCCTGGGCAAAGTGGCGGAGTTTACGGCGGCGTTCACCCACTTCACGAGCAGCCTCCGTAGCATGGGGCTCAGGCACAATGGCGGGAAGTGTGCGGCTTGGAGCGCTGTCCAATTACCGGAGGGGGCCTTGCCAGAAGGGGTCCCATTTTGCCACGACGGACTGCGTGTTCTGGGCAGTTTCATCGGCGCGCCAGACGGAGCAGCAACATTTATTCGGGCGCAACTTCAAGCCATGACAACCCCACTCCCGCAGATAGCTGACCTGGAACCACAGGCAGCGTCACTGCTGCTGACGAGGTGCATCTCAAGGCGGATGTCATACCTCGCGCGCACAACCCCACTTACCCTTCTGTTGTGTGATGCAATCATATGCATTCACGTCTGTCTGCCTCCCATCATGTGTTCGTTCACACACACTGTAGTTGCTGCCAAATGGTTGGGAGAAACCAAACCAGGCTGGCAAGTGTGGCCAAGTTGGGTTGAGGTGGATTGTGGAGGTTGGGATAGTGACAAAGGTCAAAGTTGGGTTGCCAATGGGGAAGGGAATTGTGTGGCATGGGGTTTCTTTGGTTGGGGACTCTCTTAGGACCTTCCCTCTCGTCCTCCTCATCCCTTCCACCAGGTTTAGTGCTACTCTAATTCTCTTGTGTGAACTTGTGTGACACTCTTGTGATTGAGTTAAGTTCTTATGGCAGCATACCCCCCTGTGCGCCGAAATTGATAAGTCGAGATTTACTTCACCTCTTGATACGATTCAAATTGGGAATTGTAGCCACGTACTAGGGATACATTATATCTAAGTTGGGTGAAGTTTTGACTGTGAACATTTCGTCGACGACGTTTCTTGTGAGCGCGACTATTCTGTCCAGAAATAGAGACCAACGATTTTGAGAAATTTAGGCACCTAATCTTCATAGACTCCGTCCTTAGTCTATAACACCTTCTGCCCGAAGAGGAATGGTCACGGTGGGGCCAGAAGCTGCTCCACACACTGCTCGACGCCTGTGGCGTGCGCCACCCAAGGGGGGATGCGGAGGAACAACGCGTGTGGGACCAGGCTTCCCTCCCCCCAAGCCTGGGAGGCCTAGGGCTGGCGGACCCATCGGTGGAAGGGCGGTACAGCTACCTGGCAAGCTTTGTCCAGGCGCACGGACTCCTAGCCTCCCTGCCCGGCCCCGCAGGAGCTCACCTCTCCACCGCCCTGAACTGGACAGAGGAGGTGGACCCGGACCCGAACCAACTGCAAACCTGGCTTGGGGAGTGCAAGGCGAGCCTCACACAGGAGGGACGTGACCTGCTGGCAGCAGAAATGGCAGCACCCAAGGGACAGCTGCAGCACCGCCTTGCCCTCTTAGTCCAGGGCGGAAGAAGTGCCGCTCAAGTTGCAGCAACACGGCCACACCTAGCGGCTATTGTCCCTCACTGGCTACGGTGCGGGGGACTGGCTGATAGCCATCCCCTACATGCCCTCCCTCCACCTAGATCCTGACCACTTCACATTCGCCCTCCAGTTCCGCCTAGGACTGCCTCTCCCTGTCCCTGACAACTGCGACTGCACAAAGAGAGTCGCCATAGCAGACAAACGCCTCGCCAACCACGTCCTCCGCTGCGGCACAGGGCACGGACGGACCAACACACACAACGAACTAAGGGATGAGTGTGTGCGTATGGCTCAGGACGCGGGGTTCATAGTGCACAAGGAGAGCACGGCGTTTAGCCCGGTCGACAACAAGAAGGCCGACCTGGCCATTCGGGATAGAAGCAGTGGGGCGGTGTGGCTGGGTGACATAACCATCACCGACTCAATCAGCAAACGGGACGAGACTGCCAGGAAGGGACGGGGATGGGCAGCAAGGGAGGCAGCGGATAAGAAAATCGGGTTATACTACGGTAGGGCTGAATTTGCAGGCTTTTACCCGCTGGCAGTCGAGACCTATGGCTGCCCGTGCGATGAGGTGCAGGCTTTCGTGAAGCACCTGGCGGACAGAGCAGCACGCTTACACTTCAACGCGGACCCCTCAAGCTTCCAGGCCGCAAAGCTGCTGCACCAGTTCTGCCAGCGGTGGTCTGTCGCCTTGCAAAGGGCACAGGTAGTGAGCTTCCTTATCAAGATGAACCAGGCAGCCCAGAAGGAGAACCCAGCCTTAGGAAGCCCCGAGGGGGTCCTGGACCCGGGGGAGTGCTTTGCTACCCTAGAACCGGGCAGCAGTAGCGAGTAGAAGACTTGGGGGGGGGGGGGGGGGGGGGGGGGAAGAGAATAGTTAGACATACCTGTTTGTTTCTTGCTTGCTCTGCCTTTGCTGTTTTTCCCTTTTCTATATCAATACAAAGGTCCGTTTGAGAGAGAGAGAGAGAGAGAGAATGGGTATGCGAGGGAAGAGAATAGAAGCGTTAGTGCGTGAGAATGGAAGCGTGAGGGGAAGGGGATGGCAACATAACGGGAAGGATGTACAGTGTGGGAGGGAGAGGAATGGAAGGGGGACTAGAAAGAAGTGGATGCATGATTGGAAGGGGATGGGTGCATTATAAGACCGATATAAAGCTTGATGGGAAGTGAACGGATGCGCAAGGGTCAGGAAAACGAGAGGCAGGTGCAAAAGCATGATAACGGAAGGGAAGAAGTAAGGGAAACTAAGGGAGAGGAAAGAGAGGGTGGTAAACTGAAGAAAGAAGAAGGGATGGGTCGGGAAGTGAAAGAAGGGATGCAAGGTTGAGGAGAAGGGATGCAAGAGTGAGTAGAAGGGATGCAAGGATGAAGGGAAGGGATACAACCGTAAGGGGGGGGGGGGGGGGGGGGAATGGGAGCGTGAGGAGAGGGCATGGAAGCGAGTTGGAAAGAGAATGGAAGCGAGCGGGGGAGGGAATGGTATCGAGCGGGGGAGGGAACGGAAGTGTGTGGGGATGGGAAGGGAAAGGAAAGGAAGGAGACGAAGGGAACGAAAGGGCACCCGAAGCAAGGGGAGGGACTGGAACGGAGAGGATGGGAAGGGATTGTCCTTTGGGAAGCAGGGGATGAGACATGACGGGATAGGAAGGGGGGTAGATAGGTAGGGAAGGTATAGGAAGGGATGGGAAAGGAAGGGAAGGGAAGGGATAGAAAGGGGAGGGAAGGGAAGGGAAAAGGGGGAAGGGAAGGAAATGGTAGGGAAGGAAAGGATGGGAGTGGAGGAAAACATTAATAGGGGATTGGAAGGGCAGGTAGGGAAAACTAGGGGAGAGGAAAGAGAGGGTGGTAAACTGAAGGAAGGTGAAGGGATGGGTAGGGAAGGGACGAAAGGGAAGGGAAGGAAGGGAAGGGATGCAAGCATGAGGGGGAGTGAAAGGTGTGAAGGAGAGAGCATGGAAGCGGGTGGGAAAGGGAATATGTGCGAGCGGAGGAGGGAACGGAAGTGTGCGGGAGAGGGAATGGAAACGAGCGGGGGAGTGATTGGAAGCGTGATGGGGAGGGAAATAGAAGCGTGTTTGCGACAGAATGGAAGCTTGAGGGGGAGGGAACGGAAGTGTTAAAGGGAGGGAATGTGGGAGAGAGGGGAGGGGGGGGGGGGGGGGGGGGGGGAATGGGAGCGTGCAGGGGAGGGAATGCAAGCAAGAAGGAAAGCGTGCAGAGGAGGGAATGGAAGTGTGAGGGGGAGGGATTGGAAGCGAAAGAGGATTAGTGTAGAAGCGCGAGGGGGAGGGAATGGAAGCATGAGGGGGAAGGAATTGAAGCGTGAGGGGGAAGGAATGGGGAGGCGTGAGAGGGAGGAACTGGACGTGTGAGGGAGAGGAACTGGACGTGTGAGGGGGAAGGAACTGGAGGCATGAGGGTGAAGGACTGGACGCGTGAGGGTGAGGGACTGGACGCGTGAGGGGGAGGGACTGGACGCGTGAGGGGGAGGGACTGGACGCGTGAGGGGGAGGGACTGGGCGCGTGAGGGGGAGGGACTGGGCGCGTGAGGGATTGGATGCGTGAGGGGGAGGGATTGGACGCGTGAGGGGGAGGGACTGGACACGTGAGGGGGAGGGACTGGACACGTGAGGGGGAGGGACTGGACGCGTGGGGGGAGGGACTGGACGTGTGGGGGGAGGGACTGGATGCGTGAGGGGGAGGGACTGGATGCGTAAGGGGGAGGGACTGGACAGGTGAGGGGGAGGGACTGGACGCATGAGGGGGAGCGAATGGAAGCATGAGCGTGTGGGAATGGAAGCGTGAGGGGGAGGGAATGGTAGCGTGAGGGGAGGCGAGAGAAATGGAGGCGTGACGCACGGGGATTGGAAGCGTGGTGGGAACAAAGGGGAATTGTGGCGCGGCGACCTTGCGTGACCCGAAGCAAGGGAAGGGTAAGGAAAGGAAGGAGACGTAGTGAAGGTAAGGGCTCTCAAAGCAAGGGAAGGGACTAGAACGGAGAGGATGGGATGGTAATGGCAGGGTAAGCAGGGGATGGGACGGGAAGGGATAGGACTGGAAGGGAAGGGAGGGGGTGGGAAAGGATGGGAAGGGAAGGGATATGAATGGAATGGAAGGGAAGGGAAGGGAAAAGCAGGAAGGGATGGAAATGGGTTCAGGGTTGGAAGGGATGGGAGAAAAAATGAAAACATTGAAAAGGGAACGGAAGGGGAGGGAGGGTTATCGTGAGGGGTATGGAATGGAAGTGTGAGGGGAGGCGGGAGAAATGGAGGCCTGACGCGCGGGGAATGGAAGCGTGGCGGGAACAAAGGAGAATTGTGGCACGGCGAACTCGCATGACCCGAAGCAAGGGAAGGGAAAGGAAGTGAAGGAGACGTAGTGAAGGTAGGGGCACCCGAAGCAAGGGAAGGGACTGGAACGGAGAGATGGGAAGGAAATGGCTGGGTAAGCAGGGGATGGGACGGGAAGGGAAGGGAGGGGGTGGGAAAGGAAGGGAAGGGCAGGGATATGAAGGGAAGGGAAGGAAAGGAAATGGGTTCTGGGTTGGAAGGGATGGGAGAAATGATGAAACCATTGAAAAGGGGATGGAAGGGGAGGGAGGGTTATCGTGAGGGGGATGGAATGGAAGGTTGAAAGGAGGCGGGAGAAATGAAAGCGTGTAGAGGAGGGAATGGAAGCGTGAGGGGGAGGGAATGGAAGCGTGAGGGGGAGAGAATGGAAGCGTGAGGGGGAAGGAATTGAAGCGTGAGGGGGAAGATATGGGGAGGCATGAGCGGGAGGGACTGGACACGTGAGGGGGAAGGAATGGAAGCGTGGGCGTCTGGGAATGGAAGATCAAGGGGGAGAGAATCGAAGCGTGAGGGGGAGGGAGTGGTAGCGTGAGGGGTAGTGAATGGTAGCGGGGGAGGGAATGGTAGCGTGAGGAGGAGGCAATGGAAGCATGATTGGGAGGGAATGGTAGCGGGAGGGGAGGCGGGAGAAATGGAGGCATGAAGCACAGGGAATGGAAGCGTCGCGGGAACAAAGGGGAATTATGGCGCCGCGAGCGCATACCCTAAATACGCACATCGGGTCGGGGCATGCAGAGGTAAGAAGTGGACGCCCCACTACCACAAACTTTCTGACGTGCCCGCTGGCGTGCTCTTATGCATCAATGTTGCAATTATCGGCATGTGAAGCGAGAATGTTGACTTTTCTACGCATTCTACCTATTCTTACCTAATCAATGTACCGAATCGAGGAGCACATTCTCCACGTTAGTAGTTGTGTTAATTGGAAAATTGTGGTTCCTCCTCTGTCAAGAACTGTTTCTGGATAACGTCGAGGTGGTGCGTGTGGGTGTTGATTAGTACGGTGCACAAGGCAGGGCTATCTGACTGGGTGCTCTTTGTTTTTTATCTGTATTAAAGGGTGGGTCGGATGTGTCGTGATATACGACGGTCGCAAAGTTGGCTTGCTTCAGTTGACGAAATGTGGGGTGTGCGTGAAATTCGTCTCACCCCAAACCACCCCTCAAATTCGTCAACCAATGGGAAACTGGGGTTTCACATCAACTGCAACATGACGAGAAGTGAGAATGGAATGAATGAACTATGAAACAGCTGGGTACAAGTACTAACCCTAATTGGGTTGTACCCCTTATGGGCTACCCCACTACAGCCTACACAAATGTATAAGCTATAATGTTCTGACACACCCCCATAGGCAAAGTGGGGCAGAACAAGTGGTCACAAGACCAGTCAAGCAAAGCAAAGCAAAGCAAGCTCATGGTGGATCACAAAGTCACCACACAGTCCGAGCACAAGAGTAGGGCCACAAGGCCAGTTCACATGCAAGAACATATATATAAAGGTAAAACAAGCAAGGGCAGGTATAGAAAGAATACAGTACAAACAAGATCAAGAAGTGAGCAAGTGAGGCCAGGTAGGCACAAGACCTAGCACAGTACAGAAACGCTGATGATCACAAGGCGGAAGGGCCTTGGTGAAGATATCAGCAGTGTTGGCCTCAGAGGCCACGTAGGTGAGTCGTAGCTGACCACGCTGCTGCAGCTCACGAGAAAGGAAGTAGTGGAGAGCAATGTGCTTCGTTCTGTGCTCCAGTCTGTGCTCCCGATAGAAGGCCAGCATGGCCTTGTTGTCTACGTACAGAACTGGAGGAGAACGAGGCGCCTCTCCTAGGTCAGTCAGAAGGTAGGTGAGCCAGCGTAGCTCCTGTGCAGCCATGGCCCCTGCGTAGATCTCAGCCTCACAGCTGGAGCCGAGAACAGAGGACGAGCGGGTAGACCGCCACAAAACAGAGCCGGAGCCAAGGCTGAAGGTGTAACCCTGTGACGACCGCTGCGTAGCCTGGTTGTAAGCCCAAGAAGCGTCCGCGTGACCTGTGAGGACTACTCGACGTCGCCCTCCAAGCACTAGCCCCATGCCCGACGTACTGCACACGTAGCGCAACACCCTCTTCGCTGCAGCCATGTGCTCTAGCCTGTGTCTGCCAGGAGCAACATAGCGTGCCAAGATGCTAAGAGGGTATGCAAGGTCAGGTCGTGTGCAGGTCATCAGGTACATGAGGCAGCCAACAAGCTCTGGGTACGGGCCACTCGGCTCTACAGACTCATCCGAAGGCAGAGCTGAGGGCGAGTGGCGAGTAGACAGAGGAGTGGCCTGAGGCAAGGAGTACGTGAAGTCGAAGCGCTGAAGGACGTGTTGCACCATGTATGACTGAGTCAGGGTAATGGTGCGCTGTGCTCTGTCCCGGGTGATCTCCAAGCCAAGGTAGCTGCGCAGTTCACCCAGGTCTGTGCACGTGTGTCTCTTCTGCAGCTCGGAATTCACGTGGGCTAGTCCAGCAGTGCCAGCAGTGGCAAAGACCAAGTCGTCGACGTACACGAGGATGAAGAGCGGCGGCAAAGAGGTGTCGGTGCGTAGAAACAGCGACGGGTCGGCTGTAGAAGGAGCAAACCCAAGAGCCGCAAGTGTAGTCCTCAGTGTGTCGTGCCACTCACGGGGCGCCTGGCGGAGACCGTAGACTGGCCGCCGGAGGCTCCACTGGGTGCCAGGAGGAAACGACCCAGTGACGCCAAGAGGGCGGCGCAGCCAAATTTCCTCGTGCAGGCTGCCCTGCAGGAAAGCTGTGTTTAAGTCAAGAGAGTGAAGCTCGTAGTCGCGCTGAGCGGCTATGTGCAGCAGCACCCAAAGAGTGGTCATCTTCGTGGTGGGAGAGAAGGTTTGAAAGTAGTCAACTCCCTCCCGCTGACTGAAGCCTCGAGCCACGTAACGCGCCTTGAAGACAAGCGGAGAGCCCGGCGGCCGCTTCACCCTGAAAAACCACATGCCACTGACGATGTTCGCCCCAGGTGGGGGAATCTCGTCGACGTAGGTGCCTGTGGACTTCCAGGAAGCCATCTGTGCGTCCATGGCCGATTGCCATTGAGAGGAGTAGGGACCCTCGATCGCCTCAGCGTACGATCGAGGAGTCGGGATGTCTGGTGCATCCGGGTCTCCCTGAGGGGCAATCAGCGTGGACACGAGATGGGGCAAAGCAGCCGCAAAGCACTGGAACTCCTCCTGCCTGTCCTCAAGGACGTCCCTGCTAAGAGCACACTCACCCCCGACGGACAGAGGACGGACAGATTCAGACTCAGCAACAAGACTGGCAGCGTAGTCTAGACGACAACGAGCAGCGAAGTCGACAAGCTCAGCAACTAGAGCAGACGCAGCAGTGGACTCAAAGGAAGGGTCATTGACGACAGTAGCAAGAAGGCGCGTGACCAAAGGACTAGCAGTACGAAGGGAGTCAGACTCCGGGTCAGCAAGAGAAGGAAGAAAGGACTCTGGAGGAGAAGGCAACGGGACACGCAGAGGAGCAATGGAAGGACGCAGTGCCATCTGGTGTGTGCCGGGGACCGCAGGAGGACGCAGACGTGCAGTACGACCACTACTGCGAGCAGCACGAACAGGCAACGCGGGACGAGACGCAGGCTCACGACGCTCAGCATGACCTCCAGTAGGACCAGTGTAGGGAGAAGGAGCAGGTAGAGGGGAGGAGGGCGGTAACTGTGACTGCGACTGGACAGGCGGTGGACACTCTAAGGGAGGAGCAGGACCAGTAGAGGGCGGGAGACCAAGAACCTGCTCCAGGAGAGGAACGAAGTACGGCCTCGGCCGCGCAGCGCCTGTAGAACCAGCAAGGACGGCACCAGTACTCCCAGCAGCAGCACAAGAGCCAGCAAAACCTCCACCTCCAACAGCGCCAACTCCAGTACCCTCAGAAGCACCAGCGCCAGCAGCACCGCCAACGTCAACACCCCTAGCAGCCCCAGCTCCAGCAGCACCAACTCCAGTAGGACCGTCAGCACCAGCTGCCTCAGCAGCAGCCCCGGACGCACCAGCACCAATAGAAACACCAGCGCCAACACCCCCAGCAGCTCCAGCTCCAGCAGCACCAGCACCCACTGCAGCTCCAGAAGGACCAACTCCAGTAGCTCCAGCAGCACCCCCAGACTCAGCAGCACGTCTCCAGCGGCGGGCGAACCACTCGCGCAGCTCCTGTGGAGAGAGCGGCTCCCGCCTCGACGAAGCACGGCCGGCGGCCACACGAGCAGACCCAGCACCCCCAGGCTCTGCACCCCCAGGCTCAGCACCCCCAGGCTCAGCACCCCCAGGCTCAGCACCCCCAGTCTCAGCACGCCCAGACTCAGCACCCCCAGACCCGGCACCCGCAGACCCACCACCCCCAGACTCAGCACCCGCAGACCCGGCACCCGCAGACCCGGCACCCGCAGGCTCAACACCTCTAGCAGGACCAGAGGCAACAGCTACCTCGACAGGCTCGACTGCGTCTACCTGGGACACACCTGAAGGGGCAAGACCCTGAGGAGGGAGGGGGTCTACCTGGGTAGCACCTGGCGCAAGGAAGAGCGGCGGCGGGGGGAGGGGCGCAGTGCGGTAGGGGAGAAGACGGTAGTAAGGCACCGACTCGTCAAAGGTGACGTCCTGGGAGAACAGAACACGGCGTGTGGTGGGGTGGTAAAACCGCCAGCCAGGTGCGTCGGGGGGAAAGCCAAGGAAGACGCAAGGAACAGCATGGGGGGACAGCTTGTCCGCAGACAAGTCGCGGACAAACGCCCGAGATCCCCAGACCCGAAACGCAGACGCATCGCCAACCTTCCCAGTCCACCGCAAGGCGGGGGAGGTCTCTGGCAAGGAGACCCGGGGCTCAAGGTTGAGCTGATGTGCGGCGTATCGAAACGAAAACGGCCACAGAAAATGGGGGGCAGCCGCATGGATCATGGACGTACGAGCGACGTCCATGACCATGCCAATGCGGCACTCAGCAATCCCATTTTGTTGTGGAGAGGCCGGAAGCGTGAAGGTCTGGCGGATGCCCTGTGCAGGACAGAAGGCTCCCAGGCGGGCAGAGGAAAACTCCCCGCCTTTGTCCGAGTGCAGACGCAGAACAGGGAAGTCCGAGCCGAAACTCTCTCAAAGCTGGAGACGAGCTGCGCGGATCCAGTCGATCAACACCTCTGTGACGTCACCCTTGCTGCGCAAGGGGAAGACTGTGGTGTAACGCGAGTAGTCGTCAACGACCAGCAGAAAGTACCGCTCTCGCCCCTGCCCACTGACGCGGGCTGGGCCCCACACGTCCATGTGTAGAGTGTGTAGCGGAGCCTCTGTCGGAGGAAACTCGGAGGAGTGAGGGGCGGCGCGCTGTCGCCCCTCGACGCAGGGGACGCAGGTAGGGCCAGGCCCCGGAGGAAGGGGAGGGAGAGACCGTGGGAGACCAGAGACAAGGACACGGGAGGCCATGCCTCGGAGACGAGGCAAGGAGGGGTGACCAAGGCGGTGGTGCCAAAAGGAGAGTCTGGTGGGACAGCAGACGACACGAGCAGGGGGCAGACTCAGGACAAGACGTGGACGCCGCAGAAAACACCTGACTCGACGCAGCTACCTGGGTAGACTCAGCAGTAGGAGGAGACTCAGTAGTAAGTGT